TTTAACTTGTAGATTAAATTAGCCCTGAGTGTCTAAATAGATAGAGACCATCTTGGAAATATGGCTTTCCAAAAGCCCCATGTTTAATATCTTCAAAAAAATATATCTAATTTATAAGTGGCAAATGAAACATCATGGCCAGTGAAGTCATATTTAAAAAAAAATTATTCCTATTATTCATTGCCTCTGATTTTACATTTTTTTAAAGCAACCAAAGAAACCCTACTGAACTACCTTTGAACTTCATTGATTCGCTATTCTTGTTATGACTTTGTTTTAATTAAATTTTCGATAAAATGCAATACAAAATATAGAAGCATTTTTTTTTTAAATTTCGTAAAATGAAATAACACATCAGCTCATCCACTTGACAATGATTCATTTTACCAACAATCACTGTCAGTGGCGACCTTTACTTACACACCACACCAGACGAGTTGATGGATTTGTGGCATGCAAAGTCACATACATTACACACGTACGTGTATATGTGAAGGTGCCACCTACAACATTAACCATTGCCACAGTCGAGCCAACAATTGTTTTCCACTTGCTGTTGTTTTTTTTTTTTGGTGCTGTTACTCTTTTACTGCCGCCAACTAAGCAAACAAACAATTTAATTCAATGCAAGCGAGCAAAAATGGCAAAAGCCAACAACAACAACGGCAACAACAATTTGATGGAAATACTTAATTACAGCAACTACAAAAAAAAATCACAAAACAAAAAAGTGTACTTAACAAAAAGAAAAAATTGCACATAGGTTTATGCCGTAGTGGCAACAACAGGCACTGAAGTACCATAGCTTGCTATTGTTGTGTACAGCAGGCGAGGTCGCCCTCAGCATCGTCGAGAGTTGATTGCCGCTTTGGCTGTCATTATTGAGTGTTGCATGCAACTTTTTGTAGATGCACAGTGGTTGCAGTGTTTCAGGGTTTATCTAAAAAATGCTGGCATTCATTCTATCAAAAAAGGAAAAAATATTATGTCCGTGCTTTATCTAGGGGTTTCTCTATGTTTTTAAGAGGAATGAGGTAAAAGGCCTTTCAGCATCTATACTGGAAAGAGGTTCCTTACACATAAGTGCTTTCGTTATAAACTCAACTTTCGTCCTCAGGATACCATTTTCAGCCGTGGTTGCTGGAAATATTTCATTCACTCCATGAGATTCGGGCAGTTAAAATTGTTGAAGGTTTTTATCAATACCTTTCAAAGTTTCCGCAAATTTTTCCTGAGATACTTCGAATTTTTTTGGAATCTTTTGCGGCGTTTTGTGGTTTAGGGATGTTGTAGGGAACAACTCGGTAATTTTTATCGGGATATCTGAGTTATCTTATTTGTTTTTCCGTTGAGATATTTTTGAGGTCCTGTGAGATTTCTTTTTGTTTTATTTTTCGACGTATTCATCTCAATTTTTTTAATTTTTAAGACTTTTCAAAATTTTTGGTAATAAACAGCATTATTATCAATCTCGAACAATAGGCCATACCAACGATTCCTCTGTAGACGAATGCTTCAAAAATTAGTCCGGCAACAACATTCTAGCCGGTTTACTTATCCCGGGTTCAATTTAATCGTCGTAAGTCAAGACGAATACATACACCCGATAGAGTTAGAAAATTGCAAGGAGAGACGATGACGTCTGCAGATGAATCGTTCGTGCGGACTATGGTTCAAGATAGAAAACAAGGTTATACATTTTTGCAATTTTATAGCTTTAAAAGTTTTAAACATAGATAACGTTTATTTTTTGTTTCATCATGTTTTGGGTAAAAGACGTTATGAATGATTTTTTTTTAAATCAAACATTTTTTTTTTTAGTCATGCAAAATTCAGTACCTATCGAACGCTGATAGAAACTCTTACCATCGGCAAAGGTTACATAGCCAAAGAAGGTCTGAAAAAAGGGTGAATAAAAAAGTCTTACAAAAATAAAATTTATAAAAAATATTTACTTATAATTACATATACATAAGTGTACATAAATATGTATATTCAAAAACAACAACAGCAAATCCTATAATAGAAAATAAAAAATTACATTCGAATTAACCACCCGGCACCAGTGTCGTATTTAAGGTTAATTGGGCATCAAGATTACTAGGTCGGAAATGCGCTCTTCTAGTTCTTTGTTTGTGCAGCAACGCCACAGTTACATACAAACACACATACAAAAGTAAGTATGCAAGTGTAATATATATTTAGGCAGTATGTTGCAACAACTTGCCAACATTGAATGATGATACTTAAAGACATGCAATGCGCCACAATTACGTCAGTACTTACAGCTAATTCACCGAACGACCANCATAAGTAAGTATGCAAGTGTAATATATATTTAGGCAGTATGTTGCAACAACTTGCCAACATTGAATGATGATACTTAAAGACATGCAATGCGCCGCAATTACGTCAGTACTTACAGCTAATTCACCGAACGACCAAAAGCGCCATAGACAGGTATAGGTAACCAGAGAGATCTCGATGAACATATACATACACTTAGAAATAGGAAGGCGTGTGGCATTGAATGAATGCCGCGCGTTGAGCGTCGCTGCGCAAGTGGGTGCAGGTGGCGTATGAGTGATGTTGTTTATACATATATATTTCTTCAGCAGCAGATGATGTGCGCGCTGAAGAGCAGCTTGTAGGGCCAGTGGCGCATGAGCACAGAATAGCGTTTTTATTTATAAGAATTTTTTTGTGTATTTATTTGCTATTTACTGTATGTACTACTCACTTTGTAGCTTTTGCTTCAATTGGCAATTAATGAGTTTTTCTATTCGTTATTTGTTCGTTTTTGTGCATTCGTCACAGTATATTTGTTTTGTTGGCCGACTTGGCACACTTTGACATTCACACTGCATCGAGCAATGGCGCAATAGCACTTCGACAGCTGACAATGTCGTGGCTGTCAATTTTGAAGNCTATTTCTTCAGCAGCAGATGATGTGCGCGCTGAAGAGCAGCTTGTAGGGCCAGTGGCGCATGAGCACGGAATAGCGTTTCATTTTGACACTGTTTTTATTTACAAGATTTTTTTTTGTTTATTTATTTGCTATTTACTGTACGTACTACTTACTTTGTAGCTTTTGCTTCAATTGGCAATTAATGAGTTTTTCTATTCGTTATTTGTTCGTTTTTGTGCATTCGTCACAGTGTATTTGTTTTGTTGGCCGACTTGGCACACTTTGACATTCACACTGCATCGAGCAATAGCGCAATAGCACTTCGACAGCTGACAATGTCGTGGCTGTCAATTTTGAAGGTGTGAAGAAGATTAGTGCGCTCTAATAAAATCAAAGCAAAAAAGTGTAAAAATAGAAACGAAAACTAGAACAATAGGTTTTTTTGTTTTAAGCATTAATTAGTTTTTGCGGAGTGCGGTGGAATGGCAGAAAAGGGCAAGTTTCGAGAGCAAGGTGCGCTTACAAGTTCATTATTTATTTTTCTGCTTCGAAGTCAATTGTTTTGAATTTAATAGCGACAGTTGGTATAGTAAAGTGTACCTAAAAGTTGTGTAGTATATGGGCAAATCCTAACATTGCGTACGTAACGTTCGAATGCTTCCTTTGACGCTCCTTTTGGTGAAAAAAAAATTTGAGTTAAAATTTTTTTGTGGTAGAAGGGAAGGTATACAGCAGTACTTCNCAGAAACGAAAACTAGAACAATTGGTTTTTTTTGTTTCAAGCATTAATTAGTTTTTGCGGAGTGCGGTGCAATTGCAGAAAAGGGCAAGTTTCGAGAGCAAGGTGCGCTTACAAGTTCATTATTTATTTTTCTGCAGCGAAGTCAATTGTTTTGAATTTAATTGCGGCAGTTGGTATAGCTAAGTGTACCTAAAAGTTTTGTAGTATATGGGCAAATCCTAACATTGCGGACGTTACGTTTGAACGCTTCTTTCGACGCGCCTTTTGGTGAAAAAAAAAATTGAGTTAAAATTTTTTTGTGGTAGAAGGGAAGGTATACAGCAGTACTTCTGGGAACAAAATAATGGAACTTTGAATTCGAATTAATGTCTGTGTATTTTCCTTCGCTGTTTGTGTTCGGATGTTACTGAAAAGGGAAGTGATTTTGATATGGCAAGGTTTTTTTGAAACCCTATTTTCCTGTTCGGTCGGTCGCGAGGCAGCTACAAGACGTTTGTTTAATTCTCCTTGGTTTAGGACGATATTTCGTCGATCACCATTTGAGTCCCTATTGGATAAAACAAAAAAACCTGAATCGGCCCAAAAATTACCAAGAATCAAATTTTCCTAATTTGTTTTTTTTTTTGTGTGTCTGTTAAATTATTCACATGAGTGGTAATTAGGCTGAATGTCTTCCGGTATCGTGGAATAACAGACGGTGTCAAACACAGTTCTCTCACAGGGGCAGTTTCGGTTATGCTGAGTGTTTATAGCGTAAAATGCGGTTATGGAATACTTACGAAGCCATGCTGATGCTTCGCTGTCAGATGACACGCTATAAGTGTGGTAGCAATAGCGCCACCAGCATACTCACTACTTAGGAAAGGAGTAAGCGGCCGATAAAATGGCTCTTTGTTAACTGGTTTCAAGGCTTTAGTAGTGAAACTACCGTCCGATTTCCATATTTATGAAATAAAAATGGTGACCAACTCCTGCCGTACTAATTTTTTTCAACATCCGTAAGCATATTCCGTCAGGACCAATGGCTTTGCAGGCGTTCACCTCCCCGATGTTCACCTGAACTTCACCGCTGCTTTGAGTAAGGGGTGCACTCTTTTTTGGCATTTTTTGCAGCTCTCTCGACGCTTGACATATCTAGGGAAGTGTAAATTAGTAGCTAAAATAGCTTCCGCATTTCTACGGGTCCGACGAGACGAGGCCATCGAACGAAATTTCCACTCTGTCGTCACGTCTCATCGGAATGCACAGGTCCCTCATGGCTGCTCCACAAAGCCATTAGAAACATCATTGCTGAAGTTTGTATAGGTTCGGTGGGCCGCGGGAGAAAATTCGGTGGGCTTATTGATCGAGATGAGTATGATTAACTGGTTCGATGCGAGTTATAGGTTAGTTGGAGACATTATGCTATTTATCATAGCTGCGCTAGGAATAAGAAACCTAAAAAGCCGCGTAGATTGGCAAGCTGCCAAGGTAATAGCTGCTTGCAAAATTTCGAAATATAGTTCCATATATACATAAATATTTAGGCATAAAAAATATCATAAAACGGCCAATGTTCGCACCCGCGAATGTTACTCACCACCTAAGCCATTGAACTTTGATAAAATCTAAAAAAAAAAGAAGAAAAAAAAGAAAGGTTTAGTTACAGATGTTGCATATGGGTGGGTCATATTGACCAGCGTAGACAAACGCGTATGCAAGAGAGAGAGAAATTTAGTGTAGTCGCGCAACAGCATCGACCATCTCCAAATAATATGTTAGACATCTTTGTGTTCATACAAATATTTTAAAATATTATTTTTAAATAAACTAGCGTCTAATTTGTTTTCTTCATGGTAAGCGCATGACCAATAAACACTTTTCTTATTCTATTTCTCATTGCAGTCCTTCTTCGGCCGCTCCTACAACAATCTCTCGTCCATCAGCGACTGCAAGAACAATGGCGAATGTATCATCAATAAGAAAAACCGCACCGCCTGCAAAGCCTGCCGCTTGCGCAAATGCCTACTTGTGGGCATGTCGAAGAGCGGTTCACGCTATGGACGCCGCTCCAATTGGTTCAAAATTCATTGCCTGCTGCAAGAGCAGCATCAGCAGCAACAAGCTGCTGTTGCTGCCGCTGCAGCCGCCGCAGCGCAACATGGCGGCCCACCGCACATGCCAGGACAGAAACCACCGCCACCACCTGGCATGTCGCCACATGGACCACCTTCCAGCGCTGCCGCAGCCGCCGCTCTTGGCATGCTGGGTCATGCAGGCGCATATCCTGGGCTTTATCAACCGCACACGAAAGAGGAGCTACTAATGCTAGGGCTGGAGGAGTATGCCGCCGCTGCAGCTGCTGCCAAACATCCCGCCAACGCTTCGCCATCCGTCAGCTCGCCCGACTCGCACAACTCGGATAATTCTTTGGACGTGAGTACGCGCATACATTTAAGTGGTAAACATGGTGCTGAAGCGGGCGGACCATCTGGGCCACCGCCCCCACAACTACGCAAAGACTTGCCACATTTCCTGCCGCTGCCGTTTCCAGGACTCGGTTCTATGTCGGTTATGCCTCCACCTGCCTTTCTGCCACACTCGCACCTACTATTCCCTGGCTATCATCCAGCGCTCTACTCGCACCATCAGGGCCTGCTAAAGACTTCGGCTGAACAGCAGCAACAACAAGCTGCAGCCGCCGCTGCCGCAGTGCATCAGCTCTTTAACTCAAATAATACCGCTCCCAACCGCTTTCCACCAGCGCTACAAACACCCACCACACCAATAACAGCAGCGGCTGTCATGGCGTGTAGTAATAAGCCAGACACTAGCAAGGAAGCTGAGCGTATCGCACAAAGTCCGAAGAGCGGTGATGCGCTCAACAATAATCACATACCCAATGGCAGCAAAGCGGCGGAGGAGCTTACGAAACGCTTCTACTTAGACGCGGTGCTCAAATCGCAACGCAACAGTCCACCACCGGCGACGACAAAATTGCCGGAACATCCGAAACATGATTACTCAATATCGGCTCTGGTGACACCGAACTCAGAGAGCGGACGCGAACGCCTGCGTAGTCGACAAAGCATCGAGGATGAAGAGGACTGCCACAACAGGGAAAATGATGCAGCGCGTACCGCAGAAAAAGCGCCAGCTGGCTCTGCTGGGAGTGCGCATTCAAATGGTGGTGATGGTGAAGCTGACTGCGAGCGCTTGGCTAGCAAAGCCCAGAGCGAAGGTGAAGACGATGATGATGAGGAGGAGGAGTTGGTTGTCTCGATGACACCACCGCGCTCGCCAGAGAATAATCGTGCCCTGAGCAGCGTCGAACCCAATACTACAGCTGTGGCAACTCCTGTTACTACGCCAACGCCAACACAAATCACCACTCCTGCGTCCACTACGAAGCCAGCGTTACAACAAGATAATCCCATCGACTTGAGCATGAAGACGAGCAGTTCGGTGGCGAGCAGTTCGCTGAGCAGCAAATGCAGTTCGACCGGCTCTGTGCAGGCAACCGATAGCGATAATGAGGTGGAGTGTGTGGCGGAGCACGAACAAGAGCAGCGGCACCAGCGTCACGACACCACCGAAAGGCCACGTGAAAAGATTAGACCGCTTGTAGCTGAAGAAGCGGACGATGAATTGCTGCAGGTGGACGTCGATGAGGTGGATAAGGTAGCTAGTGCGACGGCTGTGCTTAAGAAAAGTGGTGATAGCAGCAGTAATAACAGCAACAACAATAAAAATGATATTAGCAGTAAAAGTAACAACAACAACAATAATACTAGTAGTAGCAATAACAACAGCAACAACATTAACATTAACACTTATTTTAACTCAACATACCGTCTGGAGTCTAGCGATAGCGAGGAGAGCGTTCTCAAGTTGGATACGATGAAACGTAAATTACACTCAGTTCCAGGTAAACAGGCAGATTGTGGAGTGCAATATGCCAAGCGCTTGAAATTGGCCACTGTACCGGCGCTGGAATGCGCCGCTAATGTGAAATTGGACGTTGGCGGTGGCACAGCGTCTAAAGTTGCCAGCGGTACTTCTTCTGCCACCGCAACAACAACAACAGCGGCGCTGGATTTGACCACGAAGGTGTAGTGTTGTTTATAAGTGAAAATATTAGTTAAAGATTTTTTTATTTGATAGATTTAGTAGCGCAAATTTTTCAAATTGCTTTCTCTTATATTTTTATTATATAATTAAATTTTCTTTATTTCGAAAAAAATATTTGGATTGCTTACTTTTATTTATTTTTGGTTTTTGCTAGAAAATCTTTCTAAATTTCTAGAAAAATAAAAAACGCAAACAAATAAAATTCCGTAGTATTTTTACGCGTCGCCACCTTAAATGCTAAAATAAATCAAATAAAAAGATAATCAGAGGACATGCCATATAAATTTTCAAAACCGTGCCAATAGCTTAGGGTGATTGGCTCGGTTTTTCCAAACCGGTTTCCATCGGTTTTGTTGCATATCTACAGGCGTTTTTTTTTTTAATCTTTGATTTTTCGAATATCTATTAAACGGGATTTTTTTATCGAGCAAACCATTTTTTTCATTTCATACAAATCTTGACCTCCCAATAAAATTTGTGAGTTTTTCGAAGTTATTTAATTACTTTAAGAAATTCTTAAAAAAAAATTGTGCAATGTAAAAAATCAAATCAAAGAGAAAATTTTTTAGAATTTGAAAAGATCCTTTTAATATCTTATCATTGAATATCTTTGAAATTTTACAATAATTAGTTTCGAAAAAATTATATGTTAAGGACTAGTATGCACATGACCACATCCTCGAATTTCATTGCATAAAAAATAAAACTAATTAAAAGGACATTTTCCATACCGATTCGTCCTTGTGGTTTGGTACCCATTCTGTTCTTCTACATTGGAATGAATCTTTTAAATAATTTTGGACTGAGTCATTTCTGTGAAACTACAAAGTCCTTTTAAAAAAATCCCGACGTCAGAGAGAAAAACTAAAAACGCAGTTTTACTATAATTGGGCCATAGTTTNCACCACAAAGCTCTGTACAAGACACATCGTAAGTGTAGTCCAAATCAAGCTAAACTGGCTGCTATTCGAATTCGAACAAATGTTGGTAATTAACGAATTTTTCGGGCATGTTGACACTTCGTTGCCATTAAGAAAATGAAATATTGAATATCAACTACAAATGGCAAGCGCAGCAGTGTCAGCGGTGGCAAGCAAATGGCGATGGTAAACAAGCGAGCGAACGCTGATTTGCATGCCGAATTCGCTATGCGCACAGCGGGCGGGCCAATCAGTAAAAACCGGTGAAGGTGATGTTTCATTTCGGAATAGTAGATAAATATTGCGTTGCGTTGCTAAATTTGTTTATAAATGTTTCAAGTTTATAAGAATGCATTGAAATTTGCGCTTTTCAAATACTTGCATATCATTTCAGCTGCTTGCTGCTATATTCTGCTAGTTTTGCGTTTAATGTCACTGCTGTTATAGTTTTTGTGTCTATGGCTTAAAACTATTAATAAATTTACGATAAGTTGTTTTTATTATTCTTTATTTTCAAGCACTCGTGCGCTCGTGAAGTTGAAAGGGTGGGCCAAATAAGACCTACCATCCATAGTTTGCCTAGCAGTATGCGCGCAGTCACTCCATCTTGTTGTAACCACAAATTAGCATGCTGCTCTGCCGTTGGCCGCAAACAGTTGGCAATCATTTTAATTTTTCTGTAAGAAGTCCCAGAAATCGTTTCTGGCGTTTCAACCTCATTCTCGAAAAAATATGAGCCGATAACTTTTTCGGCCATAACACCGCAGCAAACAGTGCAGCTGGATGGGTGCAACTGGTGCTGGTGTGTTGCCTTTGAATTTTCGGAGCCCCAAATCTACAGTTTTTCTTGGAAATGCGCCTCAGCCGACATCAAATCATTACCTAAAAAATCAGTTTGTGTGGCTAATTGTGTAAAACGAATAGCGTGTAGTAGTCGTTGTTGGTGGTCTTGCTGTAAGTATCCACTATGATTTTCCAACAGATTAACTATAACATGCAGAAAGAAAATAACAACAACATAAAAAAAATAAAGAAGTTATACGTGTTTAACATTTGTAGGTCTTATTTGTCCCACCCTGTATGACCTTGCATAAATTACAAATAGAGTGAGTCGGAAAAGTTTGAGGCAGAAAAATTATTTATGTATATAGCATTAAAATATTAATGGTGAATAATGTTTTTAGTGAGACTGAAGACAAACAAGGTGGCAAATTATGAATTCCATATTTAAAATTTGTTTTAATTGTTTTAAGGAAAGAAAATTTGTATTGGTTTTGCTAATCCTTTTTTTTATGTCAACTAATTCTTTTACATAAGTTAGGCCACTTGAAGATCAAAGTTATGAATTTAAAATCGAATTCCAAGTTGTAATGGGTTTTCTTCATATCGTTTGACCTTAATTAAAGGTCCATAACCATAACTCTTAGCAGCTCAAAACTCAATACACGCTTACGGTTATGGTTATGGTGTTCGATACGACGTTATGGTGTGGCACCAATATTCGTTTACAGAGCCGCGTGTACAGAACAGACGATTACTATGGTTATGGCTAAGTATGCCGCAACTAATTGGGCTTCTAGCCTCCAGAAATATATGTAAGATAACTCGGAACATTCACTGCAGCAGGGGTTGCAAGTAGGATTATTTACCCAGCGATCAAGAGAAAATGGCTCTTGGACCTTTATTTTATTTTTTTTTTGTTTACGATATACCAAAAAAAAAACACAAAATTTTATATTTCTAGCGAATAAAATGCTACGGGACCTTGTGGCAGTTTTCAAGACGTTTGAATATTTTCCAACACTACTCAAGCCTTTTTCGAAGCTTTACGCAATTCTATACGTTTTGAGTTTTGCGGAATATTTGGAGAACATTTGCGGTTCTTTCGGTAATTTTGGGAATAGGTACACTTGATAGATGGATGTGTACAGCGACCTACTTTTCTATTGTGCCTTACTTTTCAGTATAACTTCGTAATCAAAAGAATTATGTTTTTTTTGGAATTTTTCGAGAACTTGATTTTTCAGAATTATTTCTCCTTTGGGGTTTTCCGGGTGTTTTTCTGAACCTGCCCATAATTTTCAAGAACTATCAGAACCAAAAACATGTTTTATCTAAACTTCTCTTTTTCTGTGAAATCCTAAAAAGTATGAAGCAAGAATTTATGTTTGCTTTCTGCTCAAAAAATGTGCTATAAATTTTCACTTGGGATGTCCTCTGATTATAACTACAAAAGTTAATTCATATTCGGCAGTTAACTGACAATTTTTGTAAGGAAAATTTGAGATAGCTCATCACTGCGGTAGTGGTCCCTAATACTTTATCGTTAATTGGATTTATTTTACATTTTTGGTATATTAAAAGAGTGAGATTGAAAAGGTTGGCAATGTGGCATTCAAAATAATTTGCATCTACATATGTATGTATACATATAACATGCCTAAAATTATATAACTTTATTTTTCTATAAACTATAGTTTTAAGTGAACGTATTTCTCGAATTCGGGTTATCTTATAAAATGGACATTTTCTGTAGCATCAAATTTAATTCCTTTTTTACAAGTTCTAACTAAATCTTAGTATTGCCTCTCTCAACTGAGTCTTTTTAGTCAATTATAAAAATGCTTAAAATTTTATTTATAGAAGCTTATATTGTATATAAAATTAATTAAATAAAGTCAGTAGAATTGGAAATGATTTCAAGTATCGCTAGCTGAGAGTGAAAAGCTGCTAAGTCCATATTTTCAAAACTTCACAGGAGAGGAACGAAATTTTTTATAGCCATTTTCTTCAGGTATTTTGCAAAATTTTCAATACAACATTTTGCGTATTTCAAGTAAATTTAAACTCGATACGAATCTTAAGGCTTTTATGTTCATTTAAATATTTTGTACTATTTTGGCCTTACTAAATTTTCTGTGCCTATGTTCTTCTTCTTTTTACTCTAAGTTAGCGATATTTGTTACCCTAAAAAAGGCATTTCCATGTATTTAAAAAAAAAAATAAATTTAGCTAAACAAATAAAAATAATACATCCAATGTACCCAAAAAAAAATGTATATGTAACTATATTCAAACGTGTATTTACGTAGCAAATACTTACACAATCAAACCTTATTTTTAAACTATCAGAATATGTATTTCCGCCCTCTATTTAAGGAATTTGTAATAAATGACACAATATTCTATACTTATTAGCCTAAATTATTAGCCATTATTATGCAAAAACTAGTTACTGAACAAATACTTTTAGTTCAAAATATATGAAATCAATTAGTACACATACAAAATGGTATTTAAAAATACATATATACATACATACTCGTATTTATCTTGTTTTAGTGAAACTGCACTTAAATTATTTAATAAAAAGACATTTATGTAGAAAATTTTTAAATTAAAGTATTTTAATTTACCTATTTGGAAATATAAAATAAAGGTATGAAAGCTCTTACTTATATGCACGTAGCTGCGTATAACGCTCAAAACATTAAAAAATTTTGTATTTATGCTGCTAAACTAAAAAACTTGAAATCAATTGGAGAGACGACTAAGGCAACCACCAGGAAAAGCAGGTAGAGAAAAGCGGTCTCACTGAACTTAACAAACTTCTTAGAGAGTCTAGGAGATTTCTGAATAGAGCATGAAGAATTGAGTATCATATTGTGGCGAGGATGCAGGAATATGTATGCACCGCAACTAAGAGGTCTATTATGCCCTCAACAACTCAAAGTACCTCATCCAAGCCCACAGAGCTCAAAAGTTTGAAGAAATCTCCAGCGGTTAGCGATTATATGAATTCAACGCTTGACCAAAGCTGGCTGAGGTACCTCTCCCGTCTTCTTGCAATCTCCACGCACTCGCGAAGCAAGTATAAAGATCATTCCACCTGATCTTTAGCTTATGCAGGTAACATTTTAGTCTACAGTTCCCCTTTTATTATCCTTAAACCTCAATAAAGGTTTATGATTTCCTTTTATCTTGTTGGGTTTAGCCTCCCAGTAAGCATTTAGCCTTTCGTAGACCTACGGTGTTACACCAGTATTTTGATCTGAGTCTCTTCCTCTCCTTTCTGAGCTCTTCCTATGTTGTACTA